CAAAGCACACATATTTCAAAGTACACATATGGCACAGCACACACGTGGTAAAGCGCACACATGGCACAGCACACACATGTCAGCACACACATGGCACAGCACACACACATGCATGGCACAGCACACACATGGCACAGCCAGACATATGTCAAAGCACACATATTTCAAGGCACACGTGTCACCGACACTTTATTCTTATTTTTCACCATTAAAAGCAGCCTCCAGCCTTTGTGTGGCACCACTGCTTTAAACTTTAACTGTGTAATCATCATCATAAACCATAATTCATCAGAGAGAATTCAGCAGCAAGACATTTACACTCATTGTCTTAAAGTGTTACTTAAAATATAATCTCAATTTTAGGTACTTCAAACCTGCAGCTTCTCACTACTCTGCACACTGGGACACCTTATGAGAATTTTACACTTTCTTCTTTTTTAAGGATTTAGTCCTCAGTATTTAACAATGAGGCACAGTTAAAATTCATGACATTTTTTGCCTTCTTCAGGTTTTTCCCCCCCTTTCTTTTCAGGGTGTCTGATTTTACCAAGTTTTTAGAGTGTGCAGAAGCACATAATCTCCATAAATACTTCAGTACTACTCTTCTTTTTAATTATTCTTATTATTACTTCTCAATGGTCAGGTAATCAATTTGTGCCTTTGCATGCACTAAACAGCAAGAGGTGCTACAGTCACATGGATCTCACTCAACAGTAAATTCAAAATAAAATGCTGCTTGCAGGCTTTTAGTTTCCCTTATTCAACTCAGTCTCTTGCCAGCTAAATTTCTCTGGAATAATAACCCCTGAGGTATTTTTGCAGAGCTCAGTGCATTGTCCATTTCCTGCACCAACACATCAAATACCCTGAAAATAAGTTATTTTCAATGTCAGACTCAAGTTACTTTGAAATTAAGGTCGTTGTGGCCAAAGCATTTCAGCAAAAGATAAGGAAATGCAAAGTGAGAGGAGGATTGATTTTTCCAAGGATGACAGCAGAAAAGGAAAAGCATTTTTCCCCGGAAAACAAATCCTCCTCTGACTCTGCATTTCCCTGTTCCCTCTCTACACACCCTCCCAGAGCCTGGGAGTCACCAGATCCCTTCAGGCTGTTTCCCCAGCTTTGTTACAAAACCAGTTTGGTTTAGACAAAGCATCAGCTCAATCCTGGGCTGTAATAGTTTGAAGTGAGGAAAAAACATGGACAAAAATGAGGAAAAATTTAATTGTAGAAACAAATATTTAACACAAACAATAAAGCAGGCTCTGAATTAGTAGAAGCTCAGCAGCTAAAGGCAGCATTCCTGCCAGGGCATTCCTTTGAAAGTGCAATTCCTTGAGTGGAACTGATGTTTCTGCACTGCCCCTTTCCCTTTTTTCTATTTTAATCCCATTATTAATTGGATACATTGGATTTGATGAAATTACAGGATTTCTTTCAGGTATTTGAGTTCTGGTGGCCCTCAGCAGGGCTGGAGTTGTGTCAGAGCCACCTTCTGAAGATCTGCCACTTCAACAAAGCAGGTCTGTTCCAGGCTTTGGATTGGGATTACACAGGGCTTTTGGATCCAAAATGTAGGAAATAATATATTCATCCCACTTTGGAGTATGGGAACTATATAAAATTTACAAGATACAAAATTTGCAAATTTGCATTAAATCTTAGATGATGTTTTCAAGGGCTGATAAAGGCTTTCTCTATGTCTTTCATCTGGAAGCCCCAGCAGTGAGTTTTGCTGCATCTCCATGCAGAGCCTGTGCCATTGCACGAATCAGAAAGGCAGCAATTCCTCTTTTCCAGGGATAAATTTCAAACATAAAAGCACAGTTCCCACGCCTCTGATGCAGCAAAAACTCGGAATTTGAGGAGTTCACTCTGAGTTCCTAGATGGCATTCCCAGTATCCTCCTCAAAGCAAACATATGCTGCTCCCTTGGAGACATATTTGATGGTCTCTATTTCCCCACCGCCGTTACTCGGCTTTTGGAAGTGGATTTCAATCATGTCCTGGACACTTTCCTCATCCTCTTCCACCTCTTGGATTCCTTTCAGCAGAATGGTCTTCTTGGAAACCCCACAGTATGGCTGTGGAGGAAAGGAAAACATGCTGGGATCACACAGCAGGGACTGGCAGGTGTGGGAATTCAATTCCCTGAGCAGGCATGGCTGGGATCTTTGGTTAGGTCAAGATTTTGGATAGTGGGGTGTATTCCTGGCACTGGAAATAGCAGGAATTCTGAACTCCATCATACACTGCTCTGAAGGGTCTGGAGGGGCCATATGAGGAGTGGCTGAGGGCACTTGGTTGGCTCATCCTGGAGGAAACTTTTCCCTGTTTGGAGCTCTCAGGGACAGGGTGGGATTGTTGGGGTGTCTGTGCAGGGCAGGGGTGGGACTGATGAGCCTTGTGGGTCTTTCCCCACTCAGGATATTCCAGGATTCTACTGAGTTCAGTGAATCCAGACTCCATAACTGGCGTGTCCTACCCTCCTTAACACACCCACACACTGGATTTGGGGATCTCTGATGACTCCAGAGCATCACTCCATAAAAACCCCTGCCAGGACATGCTCCACACCTGCAAAGCTGCTGTGTCTCCTGCACACACACACTCCAGCCCATGCTTTAATTACAAAGGGCTGATTATCTCCACAATTACATGCACAATACTGACTGAATTACCATCTGTTCATAAAGCAAGAGGCAATTTCAGTGAGAATAGGATGAGCATTCTGTGGGAATGTGATGATAAGCTCTGTGCTACAGGGAGAGGAGTCAGTGTTGGGGCTGAAAGAATGAATGAAATGAATGAAGGAGCAAATGTTTCTCTCCTGAGACTCTCCTTAGGGAGCAGTGTGACAGGGCTTTGAGGCTTGGAAAACACTGTGTCCATGATTAACCTCCTTCCCAAACACCTTCCTGCCACCCAGCACAGGCATTACGGTGAGTTCTGATACAATTTAATCAAGGCAAGACATGCACACCCTTTACAAATAAATTACAGCTTTCCCACTGCAAAACATGAGATTATGGGCCTGTTGCAGACTCACACTTGCTATTAAGTTGCACAAAGGCCATGACACAAAAGCCCCTGCAGGGCTCAGGACTGAAGATTCTGCCCACAGCTCCTATTTCTCACCTGTCTGTTCTGTTTGCCTGGACTAGATTATTTTACCTGACAGTTTTTCAAGTGTAGGTTGGCATGTGAGGAAACAAAAAGTGTGTAGCACCTTCCATTTGCAAAGAAAGGGTATTTAGGACATCCCCCAAAGCTGTTGCTGGCTGAAATGGAGAATGAGAAAAAGAAGGGTAAGAGTAATGCAATTTAAACTGTGTTTTATAAGCACCTCAAAGAACGGACTCATCTTTATTATAGGGATGTAGAAACTAATACGTCATAAAATCATGGAATGTGCTGAGTTGGAAGGGACACATCAGGATCATCAAGTCCAGCTCACAGTTGTAGGTTTTTCATGTGCATTGTGCAAAAAGTTTATTTGCATTGTGCAAAAAGTTTATTGGGCACTTCCCAAAAAAAACCCAACAAACCAAAATCATGAAATACCCACAAAAGCTTCTGAAATAAATCTAAAGCAGCTGCTCTGAGTGGATGTGGCTCCACTGATCTTCACAGAATTGGGCAATGGGAATGCCTGTCTAACTTCTCTGTTGTGAAACAAGAGCCAAAATCAAACACATTCTCCTCATTTTCTTTTTGCAATCCGAGTGTCTGGCAGTGCAAAATAAAAACCAGGGTTTTGACAAAGTTATGAAAGAAATCAGGCTCATAAAGTGTGATCAGGTTATGTTTGATCTGCTTTATTTACAGATGTGTGGGTGAAGCCACATCTTTGAGGGGTCTACTTAACTCCCTCTGGGAAGAATTTGCTACATTAACATAGAAAGTCACCCAGAACGGACAATTTGGCCTAAATAGGGGTAACAAAGTATTCCATACTCTACCTCCAGGTGTGAGGAATGTAATCACGGCTCTTCTAGACTCATTGTCATAGGTCACATTTTCTATTTCTCCTCCTCCTCCCTGTTGAGTTTTGTAGAAATTCAGCTCTAATTTGTCTCTCATCCAATCTTCAGGAATGGGCAGCTCAGGTATGTTTGAAACGTTGATCTTTCTTCCAGAAATAGTGACGTGGAGCTAAAAATATAAATTTTCGGTGCACTTTGTGATTGAAAACGCTGAAGAAAAAGCGAACCTAAAGGTTTTGAAGAACTCCTATTTTTGTAGCTTCATATTTCACTTGTTTACCTCAAATTTGACTCCCATGTCAAGTGGAACAGGCATCACTCTCACATCTGCTTTGTTGTTGTCCAGGTTCACAGTGTGCCTCCCCTTTTTTATCAGTCTCTGGGCAACTGAGGAAAATCAGATATGAAAAGCCCTGTTTCATCATCATAAAACCAAAACTATTCCCCAGTCTCTCAAGCAAAATGTCCTTTTGCATCAATAAAGAAGAAATAAATAACAATTAGGCAACTAGATCCCACTATCCATGTCTTCAGGCAGGTGTATGTCCATAAAGCCTCCCTGGTTATAGGCAAAATATTATAATGTATTAATTATAATTAATTATATTTTATATATAATATTAATTATAATTAATAATAATGTTCTAATAATAATGAACAAGGAATAATACAAATAATAATAAATATATGATAACAGATATAAATAATATAATATATATATAAATATCTTGTGATGGGTATAGAATATTATGTGCTGTCAAAAGATGCTCTTATTGTGTAAAATATTAATACTGGACTTCTCCCCTTTCATTCCAGATATCCCTGGATGAAAACCACATCACTGCCAGGTGAAATACATCAGAAACATTGATTTTCTACTTAAAATATGCATCATACCTTCTTCATCTTCAAAAGTCAGCAGTGCCTGGTTCTGGTTCAGCCTGAAGGGGATCTTTACAGCAGCATCAAAAACACAGTGAGTGTCCATATCTGAACAATTGCTGGTGCCTTCCATGTGGCTGAACTTCAGTTTCATTTCTGCCACCTTTTTTTTAATCTAAAAGGTCAGAATTGAGAGAGGGAAAAGAATAATTTCTGTAGCTTCCTGCAGAACAGAAGGAGAATGGTAATTCTTCCTTGAAATGCTATGTATATTTGGGTTTTTTTTTAAGGTTTGACACCCATAATTGATGTCATGGTTGGTAAAACAGGTCTAACTCCTCAAACTAAAGTGACTTGCTGTGCTGCCTGTTCCTGGGATTTTTGTCAGTTGGGTGGGTTTTATCCCTTTTATTAACTCTGAACTTAAAATGGACTTTACACAGTAAAAATTCCTTTGCAGTGCACAGGGATTCCCACCTGCAGAAGCAGAATCCTTTGGGTATTTAAAAGATGTAAAATATAAGTATCAGAGTCCTGGTGTTGCCATTTCTTTTTCAGCAATGGGAAAGCTGCTCTGCTGGAAGATTCCCTGCTCAGGACAAGGAGTTGGAATGAAAGGAGCTTTAAGGTCCCTTCCAGCCCAAACCAGTCTGGGATTCCATA